GGTGGTTAATGAAAGAGTTCCAAAACGCGAAATTAATTTCTTGACGACCTAATAATAGAGGTCAAATATCTGTATAGAAAATAAAGAGACGACTTCAAGAAAACGGAATGTAGGCCACCAGGCCTTCTAGAAAGAATCTGCTTACTATAAAGATGAGAACTAAGCTTTTCCTGTAGACAAAAATATGAATACCTGTAGGGGACTGCAAAAGAGTAAAGCCTGGAATGTTCTACGATGTCAGAATTAGAAATGACGCATTGAAATAGTTCCTAAAATTGGACCCGAAAGTTCTATCAACTGTCACTTGTTGCTTCTTTTTTAAAGAAATGTAGATGATCCACATTTATTACTTTATTTCAAAGCAAATATTAAAACACAGTCTTTCATAATGTGGTCTACTACGACCACTATAAAAATATATATTAATGGTCCACTCCTTCAATTGAAACTTTTTTTTTGCAACTGATATTCAGTAATGAGTCACCACTCTGAAGTCGATAGGGTTTGATCAGCATCTGTAAAAAAATTGAAAGGCTGGAAAGTAACTGCAGCATTAGTGGTATCGACTACTAATCACTTTTAAATGATGATGATTTGACCATTTTTCTTCTATGCAACAGGAGAGCTTTTATTCGTCAGTTGCCTAATGAAAAGTAACAAGTACATACTTGTTATTGTAGGAAAACAGCTAAACTCTGGCTCTAGATGGTTAGAAAGACTTGGCTCCCTGTTACACTCCGCCCCCCAGTAGCACAGCGGTATGTCCGCGGACTTACAACACTAGAATACGGGTTTCGATACCCGTAGTGGGCAGAGCACAGATAGCCCATTGTGTAGCTTTGTGCTTAACTACAAACAAACTGTTACACTCCAAAAGTTGCAAAATATTTTTTTTTCAAGACAAAGGGAAAAATATGTTGGATTGGACTGGGGATTCACTAGATTTAAGCCCCATAGAAAAATTATAGGCCATACTCAAAGTTTGAATTAGAAAAGAAGGTACATCGACCAATGAGAGAGAAGCTTGAT